ACACTGCTAAATTAGGGACGGCTAGCGCAGATAGCCCTCGTGTAGCAAACAGAGCAGAGATAGCCCAATGTTTAGCTTCGTGCTTAACTACAAACAAACAAATAAACTACAATTCACGATCAGCCTGCTCAATTGATATGTATTTGTTTTTTAATTTTTCTATTTCTTAGTTTACAATCCCCTAATAATATAACATGAGACCTGCTGAATCAGATGGCAACCTGAATCCAGGTGGCAACCTGGAGAAATCCTGAATCAGCCGGTGTTTCCTGGAGAGACTATTTTACTTTCACAATATCTTTTGTTTGTAGTTAAGCACAAAGCTGCACAATGGGCTATCTATGCTCTGCCAGCCACGGGTATTGAAACCCGGTTTATAGCGTTGTAAGTCCGCAGACATACCGCTGTGCCACTGGGGGGCTAAACTATGTTTATGGTCTTCGAAAAGAAACCCAATAACTGGGACACTTTAGGAAATCAGATTTTCTGTTTTCAAAGTAAATTGCAAATGACTTTTGATCAGATTTTTTTTTTATCTTTGAGACATAATGCGTTCCTAAAAATGCGACCTAAGTTGTGAAATGGCATTGACTGTGTACTTATGTGTATGCCATGAAAAACAAAGAGAAAGACTAGGCTTCAAAAATATGTATTTGTCCAAAACTAATGAGATTTATATGTAAAAAAGTAGGGTTACAGTGTTTAAAAGACTATCCCTCTGTCGGCTTTGGATTTAAACCAGGTGTCAATACCAATATGAACCATATTATTATTAAAGTGGGTGGGCTGGTTAAAGCGCAGGACAACACAGAGGTCTTTTGTAGTCTTGAAAAAATATTTATTTGAATTGTGGAAGGATATATTTCCCGGCAACTCACTAATGATAACCTAGGTAATTCTGTTTCACTTAGTTACAAGAAAAACTTTAATTCTAGCCAATGAATACTGCTACTAGAGATCTATTACTTCACAGGTGTTTTTTTAGAACTTGCAATAGCTGGACGTTCCTGTGCAACGTGAAGATTGGATGTGATGTCATAAACAACAACAGCCATAAATAGGTATGTACTACAACTTACTTGGCTGAAAATGACTAATCATATACAAATCATAAACAACAACAGCCATAAATAGGTATGTACTACAACTTACTTGGCTGAAAATGACTAATCATATACAAATCATAAACAACAACGGCAATAAATAGGTATGTACAACATCTTACTTGGCTGAAAATGACTAATCATATACAAATCATAAACAACAACAGCCATAAATAGGTATGTACTACAACTTACTTGGCTGAAAATGACTAATCATATACAAATCATAAATAACAACAGGCATAAATAGGTATGTACTACAACTTACATGGTTGAAAATGACTAATCATATACAAATCATAAACAGCAACAGCAATAAATAGGTATGTACTACAACTTACTTGGCTGAAAATGACTAAATCATGTGCAAATCAGATTATTTAATTTATTAAAACAAATAAACCCAACTAAACTAACAAGTCAAGATGATAACATTAATCTTAAATCCCAATTCTACAATATATGTTCAATATTTTAAACAGAAAAGGACGTGCTCTGTCTGCATCTCTCTGCTCCCCTCTACTACAGCACACGCCAACTGACGTCGCCACTACGAGTAAACACAAGCCACGTGTATCAATAAACGCACGTGCTTCATCCACAGATACCTTTCAATATTCCAGCAGGCCACGCCTCAAGAAACGACAGCAGTCTTCAAGAAACTCTCCTTCCTTCGCCTTATTTCCAGATCTCCACACAACTTCTGCTGATGACTCGTGGCAATCTCACTAGCTAGATTAATATAAACATTCCTTTCACGGTAATCTGAAAAATTCTCAGACTTAGCTATGCGCTACTTAATCTCAAGTCTCGTTGTGGAGTGAAGAGAAACAGAAGTTCGGGGAGTGAAATATATTTTAAGCTAAGTTCCCACCATGTTTTGATATATACACTTACTTGGCTACACAATGACCAGCTGTGACAACATGACGTCGACCAACTAAAGCGCCACCACAACGACTACCTTTCACATGAATCAGCGCCTAGAAAAGTGAAACACAACGTTTTAACTTCATATTAAATACACAAACACACATATAAACATATATATATATATATATATATATATACTGGTAACGTTTTTTACGCTTTGGTATGCACAGATTACATGATTTTTTTTTCAGATTAATTATATAAGCCACGTCTGAAACCCTCCTTGTTTAAATACACAGTTCAATATGCATTAACAGGATTTTTTAAAGCGTATAATATCCGTCTTTGCATATCAAATCTAAAAAATCTAAAATAATGAATATAATCGTGAATTTTTACTGTGTTTTTTTTCGTAGTGCAAAGCTACAAAATAGACTATCTGCACTGTATCTCTTTCAGGTATCGAACACCACATTTTAGCGCTTCAAGCCCCATACGTTGTCAAAAGGAAATATAGTTTACTCATTTAATTGCAACTTCTTCACGATACGAGTCTAAGAACTCACCTAAAACTGTCTTAATTAATTTTGTTCTCAGTGTTACGTCAGCAGATGGATACATAGATTGATTTTTAAATTAGTACACTCTTTTTATAGTAAACTTCAATATCACCTGCCAAGGAAACTGTCCGAATGAGGCGTCGTTTCCACCCACGACTCGATTGATGCTTGTTGCACTTCGACCGCAATCTTAAATGGAAAACAGAAAATGGGGGATTAGGCAGAGAAAGCTGTGCTTTAAATACCTTTGATAACAAGAAAAGTTCACACAAGTCTAAGACCTCTAAAATCAGCACTTTAGTTAAGTATGTTAGTTAACTGGTGAAAATAAAGTCTTAATAACTTTACACTAATTTTGTTTTGTACTTTTTAATCTAACATGTTATTCTCCGACGCGTTAACATGTTAATCTCTGACGTGTTACATGTTACTTTCTGAGGTGTTAACATACTAATCTCTGACGTGTTAATATGTTAATCTCTGAGGCGATAACATGTTAATCTCTGAGGTGCTAGCATGTTAATCTTTGACGCATTAAAATGTCAATCTCTGAAGTGTTAGCATGTTAATCTCTGAGGTGTTAACATGTCAATTTCAAATATAAAAACAATAACAATGAAAAAAAATGTAATTGGAACTTACATGGGTCATTATGTACTGGTCCATAATATACCGGATTATTCCTCTCATCCGCTGGATGGACACAACATGAAAACAACGGACCACAAGATGCCCCCAGCTGACCACCAGACATCACACAGTAAAGTGTAAATTCACATTGACTACCTCCAACACACTCATCGGGAGAGAAAATACTTTGTCTGACCAGCAGTGGACGTTGACGCAACCCAAATAAGTCCCGAATAAATCCTCTTTCACTGAATTGTTGCGTTGCTGAAACATGGACAATAAACCTATGAATACATCTTGGAGTGTGTTAAACAAGTAACTGATCAAAAACACCTTAGGTGTGAGAAAAAGGTGCGGCCAAAATAAAAAAAGAACTGAGCGTGCGACTTAAAGGAATGAAATCAAAATTGGCGGCGAAACTGGTAGCTACACTTATAACATTGATGAAAATTTTACAGCAAATATTCATTTATTAGTTAGCCAGGTCGCGTTTTTTGTTCAACTTGGGGCATGATGGTGGGTAAAACAAAAGCAACAAAAGTAAAACATCAAGTAAGAACATGACACTCGATATTAACCAACATTAGCTTTAGGATTAGATTAAAAATTAGCTTTAAAATGTATGTGGTAGTTTTCCTCTCTAAAACAGTGTTATTAACTTACTTTATAGTAACGCCATGGAATGTAGATTAACAGTTTCTTGTCATCACCCGCATGCACTCGGTGCAGCCGTATCAAGGATCATTATTTACGGTAGATGCTTAAGCGAATATCACGTGAAGTTAAACTCTTTTTAATTAGGAGAATTTCATGAAATTTGTGCTTAAAATTTGGCAATGAATAGTAACCATCCACCCGTATGATGCGTTTGAAAACTTGAGCCAGAAACTGTTAATCTAGTTTGCTTGTAGAAAAAAAACTGTGAGATGAGATCACCTTGCAACTGGAGCATGACACATAGTTAAACACTAGATCTGTTTCATATCATGTTCTCATCGATAAAGGAAGAATATGAATATATAATTTTTTTGCAGAATGCTATATTTTAATTAGTATTTTTATCACTCGTCTTTCCTTATTGAAATTTCAGTTTTAGGTTTCTCTTGGTTTTGTATATCTCATGAATTATTATTTTCATGTATTAAATTATCCAATCAATATATTTGGTTTTAACGCAAAGCTACATAATAGAATATTTATGCCGTATCATCCGCGGGGATCGAACCCCGAATGATATAGCGTTATAAACGCTCAAGTTTATCGCGGAGGACTTTATCTCCCAGTTACACACAGCGATAATACAGTGAAAATAGTGAAGAACTAGAATTTTGTCTGTCACCTATACATAGCTGTCCCTTCTTTCGAACTCGTAGACTAGAGAGTAGGAAGCTAGTCAACAGAACCCGCCGCTAACTCTTGGGCTTCTATTGTCTGACCGAAAGTGGGAATTAACAATCACTATTGTAACATACTCTCGGCCCCAAAGTACAGTGCACGGTTTTTGCGGCAACGATTCGTGAGCCACGAATCCCCAGATTCACAGTCCTGGCACTTTAGCCACTAAGCCACACCAGATCTAATGCAAAAACTTCACGCTACGAAACTTACTCAAACATGTTATATTTTTAGATCATTTTATTTAGCAAAGTTCTACTTACATCTCCGGCTATGTAGGGTAGAAACCTTTTCTATGTGAAATACGATCACCAGGAGGAGCCACAATATTTCTGACCAATTCATGTGACCCTGAGGGAGTGTAGAGAATTGGGTAGAATATTCGAGTTACAATTAACAGGTGGAGTTTTTTTTTTATCTTCTTAGAAATCAGTATAACTAATACGGCAAACAAACATAATATTAGATTTAATTTAATGCCAATGCATTAGAATTATCACGCATTAGATGTGTTTCGAATCATTATAATAAAATTAGTCTACAAATGATTACATCACTATAACAAAAGAACACTTTGTTCGGTGGAATTAAAAGACTTAAATTTTGGATTAGCAATTATTTCTCTCTCTCTCTATATATATGTACATAAATAATTAAGTAAAATAACATTAATTTGAAAATACACATGGTGAAGAATACAGGGATACATAGACAAAATACAACAAGCTGGAAATTTAAATCTAAATATCAAAAGCATAAAAGAACAATATAAATTAGGATAGATGCAGCTTAGAAATACGTAAAATAGGCAATAGGCCTAAGATAATTTTGTAAACTATAGCTTAATTTATGAATAATATAAAAACTATTAATGCATAAATGACTTAATATTTTTATCCACGGAATGTTTATACCAATCTAAATAATTATTTCTTACTCAATCAAGAATTGGTAACATTCTGGTTGTCCTAAACTCAAATATTTTAAACTCCGGAAAAAATTGAGCTTGATGAAACATTGTATTTTACAGTTTATACAGTTATGACCTAAACTTAATCTTTCGCAATGAAAGATATATTTGAAGATACTTATTAGTTTACGCAAGGTTTATGCCGAATGTAACAGATAGTAATATAGTACGTAATGACACGTGATGTTAAAAATATTATGGTATTAAAAATTCTTACCTTGATACTAATTTGTTGTGACATAAGTGAAAATAAGGAAAAATTACATTTCATCAACTTAATACGGCTCATTCCGGAACGGTGGTTATCAAGCGATTTGTTATTATAAATACCTTCTCAAGTGACATAAGTGAAAATAAGGAAAAAATTACATTTCATCAACTTAATACGGCTCATTCCGGAACGGTGGTTATCAA